CCAGTTGTGTCCAATTGTACTGTGTCTAATCGGAGGTGTCTCTGGGTGTTTACGACAATTAATCGGATCTCTGATCGGACTGAGCAGTGGTACTCAGCGATAGACTTCCTAAATTTCCCTAGACTAATCCGAATCAATGTGTCTCTGAAGTAATCGAATTAGATTAACAGTTATCGAAAGAAATTGTGGTCAAGCTGATCAAAAAAATTGTGAAAAACATCATAAGAAATTATAGAAGATACTTTATTATTCTTTTAATTAATATATCTTTATCAAATATATATTAATAAACAAATGTATTTTACTGGAATAAGATGTTTTCTATAAAATAAGAATAAGTTGTTAATCTAATTCGATTACTTCAGAGACACAGGATGTTTACGACAATTAATCGGATCTTTGATCGGACTGAGCAGTGGTACTCAGCGATCATAGAGCTTATACTAATGGAGAGGCCTTGCCTATATCTTAACCATAGGCAAGCCCGCGCAAGAAGGATCAATAGAGAGGTGAATATATTCTGTCTCAACTGTGGCTCCCCCACTCCGTGTCCAGCACGTAAGAGGAGAAGCACACAATTACGAGTTGGGAAAAATAACCTAAAACTTATATGATTTTTTAATTGTTTTGATACTGCTGATTTGTTACTGCTTTTTTTAACATGGTAATGAAATGCTATATTTGTAAAAGACAATATGATAAAAATAGTGCAATATCGTTTCATGCGTAAGTATACTAATAAAGTAATAAAATACATCTAAAATATTATAAGTAAATAAATAAATTATAATAGATGTGAAATGAATATAAATTTATGTTGTTTAGATTTCCAAAGGCAACAAACTTTCGAATAGCTTGGGAAATAGCGTGTAAGGTACAGCAACCTGTATCTAAAACAGCTCGTATATGTTCTAAACATTTTACAATAAATTGTTTTATACCAAAGAGAGATTATGGTATAAAATTATTAAAATCATCAGCGATACCATCAATATTTTCATGGATTCAGGACAATTTAACAACAAATAACAAGTAAGATTCAAGAAAATTATACATAATAAAATATACATAATATGTTCAAAAATGATATTATAATAAAATTTTATTTATAACACAGTGTCGACCAAACTTATAGTCAACATATTAATGTGGTTTCTACACAGAATCAAGATTGCACACATGAAATTGTATCTTCTTCATGGTATGTATATGTAATTTTTTTATAATTAATCCATAAGAATCACTATTATATTTATCTAATAATACCATTTATTGCATAAATTATTTTAGTGAACTAACCATTCCATGTAATGAAAGTAATTTATCAAGAACGCCATCACCAAGAACATCCACCAAGGACACCAATACAGAAGATAATTTATCTTTATCAGAAACATCATCAAAGCGGTATGTTTTGTACTTTTGAAATTTAATTAAATGTGTTTGCTAAAAAAATTATATGTTATATTTGTAAATTTTATAGACAATTAGAAGATGCACAGATGCCCAACATTCCTAATAAAATATGGCATCCTGCGAGAATAGGAGATCTCACAGCAGTACATTTTTCTACACCTCGAAGAACTATGCGGAATATACGATTAGTACAAGAAAAAACTAATAAGCAAGCAAAGAAAATAAAGATATTACAAGACAAAAATAGACGATTGCTTAAAAAAGTTTCATCATTACAGGATTTGATCTTACATCTGAAACAGAAGAATCTCATTTCTGAAAATGTAGCTCATGGATTAACGGTACATTAAGATTGATCTATTTTATCATAAATTTGTACATTTTTTTACATTATGTACTTAAATCAGTGACATACATTTATTTAGAAATACATTGAACAATTTGTAGATTTTTTTATATTTATTAGATTAGTGAAAAAGTTTTCGACATTAAAAACATATGCAAAAAATATAATAACTTTTTCACTAAGCCAATACTGTAATTGATAATAAAAATATTTAATATGCAATTTTATTTTTTAAAAAATGACAAAATTAATATTATTTCATAATGAATAAACATAAAATAAATAATTTAAAAACTTAATAAAATGTATTGTTTATTTAATTCAATCTTCCTAACAGTTTTATTATTTTTTAAATATTCTTATTTTTTCTTTAATACAAAAAAATTTAAATAGATGTTGCAGCAAAGAAATTTTTACAAAAAAATAAATACAAAGAAATAAAATTAAACAGGGTACCAGATCACTTAGTTACGGACCTATGGCCACAGTTGAGACAGAAAAATGTATCCCTCTCTGTCGATCCTTCTTGCGCGCGGCATAGCCCCTCCATTAGTATAAGCTCTATGTCAGCGATAGACTTCCTAAATTTCCCTAGACTAATCCGGATCAATGATGTGTCTCTGAAGTAATCGAATTAGATTAACTAGAGAACCTCTAGGAGAGAGAATGGACAACTGATCATGTGATCAAGCCTTTTCATGATTGGCTGACAGAAAATGTATCAATTTTAGCTATTGCGACGCCAATGCAAAATATGATGACACACAAATAGGTTATATCTCGAGCATAAAAGATGTCAAAGTCGACTGATTACTTAATAATAATCATTTTTAAATAGAATTTTTTGCTTATTATAAAAGTTTTGATAAAATAGGAGGTAAGTGTTTATTAATAAAAATTATAAATAAACTTTGATTTTAACAAAGGTACGTTTAGACGTGTCGAAAGTATATATTTATTGTTAGCAGGATTATTTTTGTAATAAATGTTGGAATATCTGTTAATTTGATGACACAAAATTTGTTGTCAGTTAATTTATTGTTTTATTACAGAAAACGTTATTTACTATGCCGTCGAGTTGCTCTGCATACAAATGCTTTAATAATAGTAATCAAGGATATTCTTTATTTAGATATCCGCAGGATAAAATATTGAAGCAAAAATGGATTGCTGCAGTTGGAAGAGGCAAAAATTGGTTACTCAGTAATTCTCAAAAACTTTGCGAGGTTAGTAGAATAAAAATATCTGACAAATGTCCTGCTTCAAAAGAGATATTTTCTACTCTTCGCTGTAAGGTCCTGACTGAAGGAAAAGGAGCAATAACTTCTCTTATATAATTGTAACCTGTAGTGCCGCAAGTAAAACGTAAGCCTAATCCTTTTAGAATTGTTTCTTCTGACCTTTTTGAATTTTTGCCTCTTCCAACTGCAGCAATCCATTTTTGCTTCAATATTTTATCCTGCGGATATCTAAATAAAGAATATCCTTGATTACTATTATTAAAACATTTGTATGCAGAGCAACTCGACGGCATAGTAAATAACGTTTCCTGTAATAAAACAATAAATTAACTGACAACAAATTTTGTGTCATCAAATTAACAGATATTCCAACATTTATTACAAAAATAATCCTGCTAACAATAAATATATACTTTCGACACGTCTAAACATACCTTTGTTAAAATCAAAGTTTATTTATAATTTTTATTAATAAACACTTACCTCTTATTTTATCAAAACTTTTATAATAAGCAAAAAATTCTATTTAAAAATGATTATTATTAAGTAATCAGTCGACTTTGACATCTTTTATGCTCGAGATATAACCTATTTGTGTGTCATCATATTTTGCATTGGCGTCGCAATAGCTAAAATTGATACATTTTCTGCCAGCCAATTATGAAAAGGCTTGATCACATGATCAGTTGTTCATTCTCTCTTCTACAGGTTCTCTAAGATTAACAATCATCGAAAGAAATTGCGGTCGAGCTGATCGAAAAAATTGTGAAAAACATCATAAGAAATTATAGAAGATACTTTATTATTCTTTTAATTAATATATCTTTATTTATCAAATATATATTAATAAACAAATGTATTTTACTAGAATAAGATGTTTTCTATAAAATAAGAATAAGTTGTTAATCTAATTCGATTACTTCAGAGACACATCATTGATCCGGATTAGTCTAGGGAAATTTAGAAAGCTATCTATCGCTGAGTACCACTGTTCAGTCTGATCAAAGATCCGATTAATTGTCGTAAACACCCACATTATTGATCCGGATTAGTCTAGGGAAATTTAGAAAGTCTATCGCTGAGTACCACTGCTCAATCCGATCAAAGATCCGATTAATTGTCGTAAACACCCTCTATTAAAGTACCTCGGTGCGCAGCAAGTATGCGGCATTGCAAATTGTAAAATTCAAATCTATGATAAGAATATTATTGATGAAAAAAAGTATCTCTCTAACTTACCTATTATTTATTTAATTATAGAGCGTCTTTACATTTTATTAATTCAAAATTTTTTTATAATCTTACTTAGATGTGATAATTAACTTACCACAATATGAATGTTCACAATATAAATATCAATATGAAATTATAATTATACATATCAATGTACATACATGAACACTCGTAAACAGATTATACTTGGTTATACTATATGGCCGGTATTCATAGTCCGATCTTATATTTAAGATCGTCTTAAGTCTGCTTGGAGGTTGACTTAAGACCTCATTCAACCAATCAAATAGCTGCGTAGCTTTTCAAGCTCGAACTTAAGACGATCTCAAATATAAGATCGGACTATGAATACCGGCCTATGTCTTGATATGACTTTATAGTGTAAACGGTGCACAAATGGTGTAATATGGACGGCACCATGTGCACTTCCTGGACGATGAAAACTCCAGCCAATTAGAGTCCAGAATGAGTTGGCGAGTTTCTCTTTATAGGGTCTCTAATCTAAACTACAAAATTGTAGCTGCTGGATTACAAGCGACAAATCTGTCGCTTCAACTATTTGTTCCAGCAGTATGTGGAAATGCATCTTTATATGAATATACATAGAATGTTAAAATTGTAAATAATATATTTCTAATAGAGAAGAATATTCTTAGAATATTGGTTGAATTTATTCATTGCACATTTTATTGCGCATGTGGAGTATAGAAAAAATTCAAATTAAATTAAGTGTAAAAGAACCCTTAAGACCATACGCACAAGCCTTTAAGCGGCCATATTCGTGAGCGGTTTCGTCTTTTGTCGTCATGTGTCGTCATGTGTCGTTAAATGTTTGGCCATGTTTGCCATGTGCTTTACATGAAATGATAGCGTTTTAATTAGAGGTAATTATTTCTTTTCTTTTATTAATTTTATTTTATCAAAAATTAAATAAAACTTAAGAATATTTTTCTATATATTTTTAGTAATATTTTTTACATTTTCTTTTAACAGTTCAGGATAAATATATTTCAGTACATTTAAGGTTATGCTTGAAGAAAATCACACAAAATACATACTCAGCAAACACCGAATAACAATTATATAACTATTACTTGATGTTTACTGGCTATTGTATCTATTTATTTTCTTATTCTTCATGTAAAATTCTCTTTATTACAGTGTTCAAGCATCTATATTCTAATATTCTTTTTGAATTATTACACACTGGGTCATTAGGACACGAAGCATAAAAGTAAGTACAAATAAAAAACTACTTTATTAGTTTATTTCTTCTTTTTTTTTATTTGTCATTGGCTGCGTTCAACAAAGAAAGTTGTTTTGCAACTGTTGTAAAATTCGTGAGCCTGATTGGTGTATGTTCTTAATTTTGACTGAATCTAAAAGCATGCACCAATCAGATTCACGAATTTTACAACAGTTGCAAAGCAGCTTTTCCTGTTGAACGCAGCCATTGCCAGAAAAAATTCTATAATTATTCTTGTACATTTAAAAGAAAATTTGTTTTACTTTAAATTTAAATTGCTTGAATTTTGTTTCAATTTCAGATTTTGGTACAGCCTTATATTATATTATAATAGTATTATTTTTAAAATTTAATAATGCCTAAATGCAAAAAAAGTCGTTTTTTGCAATCAATTACAGTAAGAAAACATCACGAACAAAAAAACGCTTGTGAGTTACCTTCAACATCTGCTTACAATAAATCTTCATTTGAATCTGTAAAACCATCTGATAATCTATATGGTAATATTATATATTATATTCTATTTTTATTTTTACTAAAAAATATTTGCTAGATGTTATGTATTTTTTCTTCAATGTACGTTATAATGATAGTTTACATTAATGTTTGTTATATCTGACAATGGACATTCCTAATTGTAAAAAACGTATGTTATAGAAATATTGTACTTTGTTTCAGATAATAATTTCAAAAAACAAGTATTACGACAATTGCAAATAATTAATCTAAGACAACAACAAATTTCAGAGGATCTGAGCGTATTATTGATGAAAGCAAATTCTGAAAAAGATGAACCAATTATATCAAATGAAAAGTCTATATTTAAAAATTATAATTTTCCTTTAAAAGAAATAAAAGAATTAGAAGCTATAGAAGAATTTCTAATCGAAGACAATAATTTCAAAAAGTTTGTAAGTAAATTTATTTACTGATGCATTTTTATTGTACTTAGAATTTATATAAATTTAGAAATTTGTATTTTAGGTAACGGAAATTATTAAAATTGGAGGAACATCCTACAAACAGATGGTGAAACGCGTGTTAACAAGAATAATATCTAATGATTTGTCTAAGACTTATAGTTGGATAGGTTATAAAGGAAAACGTAACTTTTTTAATCTTCGAATTTGCTCAGCAATATTATCTGCTGTACAAAAAACGCATGGCTGCTCTGAAGCGATGATAGAGGCTGTAATAAAATATTGGCTTGTAAAATCTATCGAACGACAGAAACAGTTAACAAAAGAAAAAAATTCGTAAGATTTACAAGTACAAAAAAATTTTATTTTAAATATTCCCAAGTAAAAGATAATTTTATTTTAAGTGCAACTTAAGTGCAATTTTATTTTGAAGTTTTATTTTTAATGCATATTCGCAAGTAAAAGATAATTTTATTTTAAGTGCAACTTAAGTGCAATATTAAGTACCAAAGATAAAAAATGACTTATTTGACATTTTTAAAAATAATTATTGTTTACTTCTAAAACACTTCAAGTTTTCAGAAATAAATAATAATCATTTTTTTCTAGTTTTCTCTTTTGTTGGAATGTATAATTATTTTTATAAATTGTTGTTTTTCTTTAAGTCAAGTTTAAGATTCATATGTGTACTTAAATATTAGACATTTAGACATAATCTTGGTAATTCTGTTTTGTTAAAAAATTTTGATTTTATGAATTCTAATATTAAATTCAAAAGTATTATTTCCATTATAAATATAATATATTTTATATTTATATGAGATTTATATAAATATTATGAAATATTAATAAATACGTGTATATGTATTTTCATAAAAATGTGTAAAAATTTTTAAAAATTATTTTTTAAAATAAAAAAATGAACTTAAAATTACTTTATGTATTTATTAATTACGTAATGTAAACTTCTGTAACATATATAATTAAATAATCAATTCTAAAAAACATGAAATTGTTTATTTTCAAAAGGGCAATTAAATTTTTTTTTATAAGAACAAAAATTACTTAAAATACAAAAGAAATTGATAATGTGGAAGTATTAAAATTAAAAAACAGATAATATCAGTTAATAGAAAAAATTAATACTTTAACATTCTCAACTTATATTATTTTCTTAATTTTTTGTTTTTTTTTGTAAAAAGGTGAAATTTAGCTGTTTTTGAAAATAATTGATAAAGATAAATAAAACTAATATTACACACACACACACACACACACACACACATATATATATATATATATATATATATATTTGTTTTTTCTCTCTCTCTTTTTTGTAAATTTAATATTTTATTTAACTATCTGCTTTTAAGATAAATCAGATTTCGATCTTATTTTTGTACCTCGTCAAATATTTATATCTGTTTATATTATGATTCAATGAATTTGTGTCGAAATCGTTATTATATACATGACGAATATTAAAATAATGAAAATCAACAGAAAGATAAACAGAATTAAACAACCCAGACACGTCTCTAAAAAACATCTAAACAAACTTAAAGACGTCTTGTATCCGTCTTTAAATATCTTTAAAATGTTTTTGGCCTTTTGTGCTATTAGGAAGCCAGTTCTTGTTCAGTGCGTAGAAAGTGAGAAAGATAAGCAGAAGAATATCTATGTTAAAAAATTGTCGTAATTTTTACAGACGGAAGAAACACAAAAAAGGTATGCGTTCACATGCAAGATTGTTTCATCATATTTGATATAAATGCATTTTATTCCAATTTAACAGTCAACAATTACGCGGATGTATAATGCATTTTATGAACACATATTGATTTCAATTTTAATATTATATTTGTGTATGAGTAAGCGTTAACATTATTTTTATCTTAAATTTTCAATTCGACAGTTTTAGATATTTCTTTATTATCTAAATAAATACTTCTCGTCATACATTTATTAAATAAAATATGTAATTTTATATGTTTATTATATATTTCAAATAAAAATGTCAACATAGTATTAACTATGTATTATGAATGCGTTAAAATAATAATCTTGCGAAATCACTCATTTATCAACATTTTTCTGATATAAACAGATATTGATATGTTACAGAACAAAGTCAAGAGCATCTAATAAAAAATATGATGCATATCAGGTTTTTTATTCGTGAAACGGTTAATGGTTTCCGATTGTCATCAAATGTACAAAGTCGCGCAAAGTCGATCAAAGGATGTTCAGTGGATAGTAAAATAACAAACATAGAAAACAAACCGCAATATATATGGCCGACTAAAAATATTCCTGGTCCAAAAGCATTGTCTTTGCTTGGCAATTGGTTTAGATTCATACCTTATATAGGTAAAAACTCTTTGATCAATTTATATTTGAAATAATAAAAATTAATAAAAATATTTGAAATAATAAAAATATTGTTTATCAAGCGATTTTAAATTTAAGCATAAGGTTTAAATGAATTACAAATAATGAATTACATATAATTCTATATATAATTAATAAATAATGAGAAATTTTAGAAAAATTAATAATTAATAGCAAATACAAGTCGTATAATACTTATAGGACAATATGTGACACGTTATTTTATTGTTACTTTAATTTTAGTGTCTTTTGAATTGCATGAAGGACCTAAACAAATAATCTCTAACAAATTTTGTTATTACAATTAATTATAATGGGCTTGTAGAGCAAGAAAACAAGTATATTACAAAAGTTTAATTATGTCAAGAAAAATACATCAGGATGCGTCTATGTCGACGGTGACATTACAATAATACCGAACAAGCAAAAACATATATACATTATTAAAGGCGAATGTTTCGATCGATTTTTCGATCCTTTTCAGCGCAATAATATAATAATAAATAAATACGAATGAAAATACGAATTAACGGAATTATAAGTTAAAAATTATGGTCTAATAAACGCATTAAATGTGATTGTCGGATATCAATACATAGTCATAATGTCAAAAAATAAATAAAGAGCAAAATGAAAACGGAAAAATTTTGTTATACTCAATTGTAGAGATATACTAAAACCATGTGGGCCCCCTGCTAGTTTATTTGCCAGTGGGTGTGCTTTCATGGTAGTAAGTGATCTCGTGAATTACAGTAATTTCTCCAGTTGGAAATAAATGTGAAAAGATCTTGGATATTTCGATACACGTCTAAAATACCAATGGTTTTTTTGGCCCACATGGTTTTAGTATGTCTCTACAATTGAGTATAACAAAATTTTTCCGTTTTCATTTTGCTTTTTATTTATTTTTTGACATTATGTATTGATATCCGACAATCACATTTAATGCGTTTATTAGACCATAATTTTTAACTTGTAATTCCGTTAATTTTCATTCGTATTTATTTACTATTATATTATTGCGCTGATGTATTGATATCCGACAACCACATTTAATGCGTTTATTAGACTATAATTTTTAACTTTTAATTCCGTTAATTTTAATTCGTATTTATTTATTATTATATTATTGCGCTGAAGAGGATCGAAAAATCGATCGAAATCGCCTTTAATAACGCACATATGTTTTTGCTTGTTCGGTATTATTGTCACCGTCGACATAGACTCATCCTAATGTATTTTTCTTGACATAATTAAACTTTTGTAATATACTTGTTTTCTTGCTCTACAAATCCATTATAACTAATTGTAATTTTGAATAAGTAGAGCCTTGATTACTTTTATTTTAAATTTTGTTATTTCTCTGATTATTTATCTTAGATCTCCTATTATTGTTATTGTTCAACATATGTAAAAATTTCTTTAACTAAAAGTTAATAACATTTAAAGAAATAATAGCAATGTTCTCTTTTTAGATGCGAGTGCGAGACCGAGAGATAGAAAGAGATTGAAAGGATATTAAAGTAAAAATAAAAATAAGATTGATATATTTTTCTTTCTTCTTTCTCTCTCTCTCCCTCTCTCCCTCCCTCCCACCTTCCCTCCCTCCCTCCCTCTCACTTTCTCTCTCTCTCTCTCTCTCTCTCTCTCTCTCTTCCTCTCTCTCTCTTCCTCTCTCTCTCTACATCTGTTAATCAGACTCCTACTTGCATTATTTATTCCAATATAAAATTGTTTTAATGAGAACTTATTTAACAATATCATATACAGAGTGTTCCAAAAGTCCCGGACCGGTCGAATATTTCATAAACTAGGCACTTTAGAAAGAAATGTTTCAAACAAAAGTTGTATGACTTGAAGGGGGCCATCAGATAGCGGCAATGATTTGACATGGGAGAGTCATTTGAAAGTCACGTGAAGATCACCATCAATTTCTTAAATGGAATTCCCTATTTTTTATTACATATTCGTGTAGCTTATCTCGAGAGCTTTCCAAAACACTATAATAAAGCATTTCTTCATCGAGTACTTTTTGAGTTATGAGGCTTGAAATCATTTCTTAATTTTACATAAATCGTAAAATATCTTGTAAAATATTCATTTTTCGATTATCTTACCTTAATAATTTTATGTACAAAATAATGAGAGGAATCAATTGGTGTAAAGAAAAAACATAGTTGTTTTTAAGAAAAAAATATGTAATTTGCAATTAACAATTACATATTTTTTTTAAAAATAACTATGTGTTTTCTTTACACCAATTGATTTCTCTCATTATTTTGTACATAAAAGTATTAAGGTAAGATAATCGAAAAATGATTATTTTACTAGATATTTTATGGTTCATGCAAAATTAAGAAATGATTTCAAGCCTCATAACTCGAAAAGTACCCGATGAAGAAATACTTTATTATAGTGTTTTGGAAAGCTCTCAAGATAAGCTATACCAATATGTAATAAAAAATAGGGAGTTTCATTTAAGAAATTGAAGGTGACCTTTACGTCACCTTCAAATGACTCTCTCATGTCAAATCATTGCCACTATCTGATGGCGCCCTTCAAGCCATACAATTTTTGTTTGAAACATTTCTTTCTAAAGTGCATAGTTTATGAAATATTCGACCGGTCCGAGACTTTTGGGACATTCTGTATATTGCATATATTATTTTATTAATTATTATTATTTATTTTATTAACTATTATTATCTAATTATTATTTTATTAACTATTATTAACTATTATTATTATTTTATTAAATTCAAAAAGGGTAACAATTATTGTACAAATATAACATATATACTTTCTCATTCTCTTAAACTACGTGCATCTTCAAAGTAACTACTTATTGATGAAAATGATGTAGGTGAATACAGTAATGCAGATGTTATGACTCAATTACGTATACTGCACGAACAGTATGGCAACATCGTCAAACTGGACGGCTTAATGAATCGTCGATCATGTGTCTTTCTATTCTGTCCGCAACTTTGCGAAGAAATGTATCATTTGACAAGCACTTCACCGATACGAATTGCTTTAGAAACCTTACATTACTATCGTAAAAATAGGAAACATATCTATCTCGATGGACAGTATGGTCTTGCAGTAAAGTCAGTACAATAAATTTTTGATAACAATATAATTATTTGTGATAAAAAAGAGAAATCTTTTAATTAACATTGCATTAATAAACAGTAAATTGCAAATATTAAAATTTTATCTTTACAAATATATTATCTGTAACACAAACCTCTTTCTAAAAAATTTTTATCACATTCTCTCTCTGTTTCTCTTCTTTCTTTTTTTCTATTCATCTTTCGTGATAACTTAAATTATTTATTACTTCTGAGAAAAATTATTCACGGTTGACCATTAAAATTGCAACATGTATCCATATATATATATGTATGTATACGCATATACAGGGTGAGGAAAAAGTATAGAAACCCCTAAATTTTTCGAAAATTATACATTTTAGAAACAAATATTTCAGACAAAAGTTGTAAGGTTTCAAGTAATGAATTACGTAGCAATATCAGTATAACCTTGAATAGCACCGTCACATAAAAATTACTTTGAATTTTTTAAATGGAACTCCCTACTTTTTATTATATATTCTTGTAGCTTGTTTCAAGAGCTTTCCAAAACACTATAATAAAGTATTTTTTCAGTGAGTACTTTTCAAGTTATAAGGCTCGAAATAATTTCTTAATTTTACATAAACCATAAACAATAAAATATTTTTTCTTCAAAAATGTTTTTTCTTTACACCTATTGATTCTGCACATTATTTTATGCATAAAAGTGTGAAAGTGAGAGAATAAAAAAATGAATATTTTATTAAATATTTTATTGTTTATGTAAAATTAAGAAATGTAAAATGTAAAATTAAGAAATGATTTCAAGCCTCATAACTCGAAAAGTACTCAATGAAAAAAACACTTTAATAGTGTTTTGGAAAGCTCTTGAAACAAGCTATAAGAATGTGTAATAAAAAATAGGGGATTCCATTTAAAAAATTTGAACTGATTTTTATGTGACCTTGACGGTGCTGTTCAAGGTCATATACTGATATTGCTACATAATGCGTTACTTGAAACCCTACAACTTTTGTTTGAAACCGCAAACAGTCACAACGCATATCACGCAAATCAGTGAAGTGGCCATCGAATTCATAGAAAAGATACGAGCATTGCGAGATCCTAAAACTCTAGAATTGCCAAATAACTTTATGAATGAATTGTATAAACATTTGTTTCTAAAATGCATAATTTTAGAAAAATTTAATTCCATACTTTTTCCTCACCCTGTATATTTATAATGTTATAATATTGGAATTTTAGTAATTATATATGATAGACTGTAGACCAAAATTAAACATATGATACAAATTAAAGATTAATTTTACTTTTTTAAATATTTTATTTTAAGAAAAATGTTGCCACACTATTACTTTCAAATCATAATAATATAAAATGACAGAAATTAAATCAGATTTATAAATAAATAAGCATAATAATATTAGATCACATAAAATATTATTTCTTTTATTGGAAAAAAATTCTTTCTTTCTCTGCTGTTTCCAGTCAAGGAAAGATATGGCGCGATTTTCGCACAAAAGTTAACCCGCACATGATGCAACCGCAAACAGTCACAACGCATGTCACGCAAATCAGTGAAGTGGCCATCGAATTCATAGAAAAGATACGAGCATTGCGAGATCCTAAAACTCTAGAATTGCCAAATAACTTTATGAATGAATTGTATAAATGGAGTTTGGAATGTAAGTATATGTATATGCATTTATGCGAATGAATTGTGAAATACCTATTATGCCATTGATGTTTTATTGTTCTCTTCGAAAAAAAAATATATACAAAAACAACAGAACATCAATTATACATACAATATATATATATATATATATATATATATATATATATATATATATACAGGGTGTCCCAAAACTCATAATCAATCTTTTAAAAACAGATTCCTAGGATCATTTGGAGACGATTTTTCCTCAGCGGAAATGTCGATGAAGGCCATCATTTTTTGCATGTTCCCGATTTTTGTCATCATATATCTTTGTAATTAAGCCTTAAATTAAAATTCAACTAAAGTAAACTCTATTTAAAATTAATCGAAGAATGTGGTTTTGTTAATATTTTATTTCTACAAAGCTTAGTTTACGAAAAACCCCTTATTTCCAATCACTTAATTCGAAAATTATTAGTGCCTCGACATTTTCGTTGAGGAAAAATCGTCTTCAGATGATCCCAGGAATCTGTCTTTGAAAGATTGATTATAAGTTTCGGGACACCCTGTATATAACGTATATGATATATAATTATAAAAGATATACAATATATTCAATATTTAATATAATAATGTAATAATCAGTGTTTGCTGTAGATAATTTCAAAATTATCTAGATAAAAATAAAAATTCGTAAATTTATCTTAGATGAGATAAAGATGATTTTGCTTTTACTTAATCTAGTTGAAAGATGAGATAATTATTACGATAATCTAGATAATTATCTAAATATTTTTGTTTATTTTATAAGACTATAAATATTTGTAAAAAATGTGACGCAGATTATAAATGCAATATTAAAATCATAAACACATATTCTTTCTTTTTTCCTAAAGAATATTTAAATAATAGCAAAAAGGTATATAAATGATATAATAAATATTTATTTATTAATTTATATTTATAATATATTAATATATTTATAATATATTAATAATATAATAATAATATATTTATAATATATTAATTATAATAATATAAAAAATATATTTTAGATATTTTAGATAGATTTTTAGAAGCATACCTGGAAAACTTTTTTGCATAATGAAAACGTCATCTTAGACAATTTTTAGATAAGATGACATATTTTTCATCTTAGATGAAGATAAAGATACTTTGTATTTCTTCATCTAGTTAAAGATAAAGATGATCCATTTCTTTATCTAGATGATTATCTAGATCATTTTATCTAGATACCAGCAAACACTGGTAATAATACATTCTCTTGATAAGATATACATATTATATAATTTAATATGCGATTCTGTACATTTTTTAATGGATTTTAATATTAAACATTAATTTAATATTAACATTATAATTCATTTTTATCAACGATCATTCGACAAAAAATACTTAAAAGTTATAGATATACTTTATTTTTATACTGAATTATATACCTGTAATTATAACTGCTGATCTACTCTTATACAACAAATAGCAATGTGTTCAATCGCATTGGGTTATCGATTAGGATGTTTAAAGCCCAATCTTGCCATGAATTCGGAACCACAAATAATGATTAATTGCGTACAAGACATATTCGATCTCATGTATCGCTTGGAAAACCTGCCATCATTGTGGAAGATATACAATACGCGAAATCTCAAGAAGTTGATTCATGCCCTGGATACATTTGATGAGTAAATATAAAAAACTATGCTCTAATAAAAAAATTATGTAATGTGTATTATTCGCAAATTCTCTGTAATATGTTTTTTTCCGATATCGTACTATGTGTTGCAAGAATTTATCAATAATATATCAATAATATATCGTGCATATGTGTGTGCATCCGATGCTAATTATTTTTTGTAGAATATACTGTCATTACTTTTACTTTTAAACTTTTTGCTTATATAATTTATCCTGTATTTAAATAATGACAAGTTTTAAAGCACAATTCATAAATGCTATTAAAGTCATATTTTCACATTTGTATACTATTTATTTTTTATTTTAGAATTTCTATTAAATATATCGAACGCGCTAAGGAGAAACTTCGTGAGAAGACAGACAGTATAGATTCGCAAAATCATAGTGTACTGGAGAAGCTTTTGCGTATCGACGAAAAAACAGCTCATATAATGGCATTGGATATGTTACTGGCGGGTATTGACACGGTAATGTGCGGGAATTCTAATTCCAATATTCAAATTAATTTTTAATATACAGAGTGTCCCAAAAGTTCCGGACTGGTCGAATATTTCATAAATAAACTATGCACTTTAGAAAGAAATGTTTCAAACAAAAGTTGTATGGCTTGAAGGGGGCCATCAGATAGTGGCAATGATTTGACATGGGAGAGTCATTTGAAAGTCACGTGAAGATCACCGTCAATTTCTTAAATGGAACTACCTATTTTTTATTACATATTCGTGTAGCTTATTTCGAGAGCTTGCCAAAACACTATAATTAAGTTAGTTTTCATAAAGTACTTTTCGAGTTATGAGGCTTAAAATCATTTCTTAATTTTGCATAAACCATAAAATATCTAGTAAAATATTTATTTTTCGATTATCTTACCTTAATACTTTTATGTACAAAATAATGAGAGGAATCAATTGGTGTAAAGAAAACACATAGTTGTTTAAAAAAAAAATGTAATTTGCTATTGACAATTACATATTTTTTTTTAAAACAACTATGTGTTTTCTTTACACCAATTGATTTCTCTCATTATTTTGTACATAAAAGTATTAAGGTGAGATAATCGAAAAATGAATATTTTATTAGATATTTTATGGTTTATGTAAAATTAAGAAATGATTTCAAGCCTCATAACTCGAAAAGTACTCAATAAAGAAATACTTTATTATAGTGTTTTGAAAAGCTCTCGAGAAAAGCTACACGAATATATAATAAAAAAATAGGAAGTTCCATTTAAGAAATTGAAGGTGACCTTTACGTCACCTTCAAATGACTCTCCAAGGTCAAATCATTGCCACTATCTGATGGCCCCCTTCAAGCCACACAACTTTTGTCGGAAACATTTCTTTCTAAAGTGCATATTTTATGAAATATTCGACCAGTCCGGGACTTTTGGGACATTCTGTATAGCTCGATCTTTTCTAAATAGAATTATTTTCTTTTTCTGAAAAGTGGCTATAGTAATGATAAAACAATGATAAAAATAAATTCTTATAATTTTCTTCATGTATGTGTAGAGATAAATTTTTTGTTGAATAAGACAAACAAAAATAGAGAGAGCAGGTATATTATTTATGTATATAATCACATCAAATATTATGTAAGATTAAGTAGAATTCAATAGAATTAATAAAAGTCACAAAGAATTAAGTAAACAAGATCTGTGTTATAGACTGGCAATGCGGCTGGCGGTTTGCTCTATTATATTGCAAATAATTTAAAGACTCAAGAAAAATTAAGAGAAGAGGTAATGTCTGTTTTACCGAGCAAAACATCGCTTGTTACACATGATATACTGAATCGAATAACGTATACCAAGGCCTGTATTAAAGAATCTATGCGATTGTTTCCTATTGTTATTGGCATTCAAAGAACTATGCAAAAGGATGTTTCTATAAAAGGATATAGAATACCAGCAGGAGTACGTTTTTTTTATCCTATCAATTTTTTTAGAATTAAAAATATTTATCTCATATACACCATTTATTAGTTATATAAATATGTTAATGTATTTTTAATCAATGTGTCCAAATATATTTCTTGAAATATATTTGGACACATTGATTAAAAATATGAAATATTTATTAACATTAAACATTTTATTGTGTAACTAAACTCTTCAAATTAAAGTGTTCTATATATTAAAACAAAATTCGCTTGAATTTAGACAAAAAAAGAGAAATATTAATTACTTGCTTGTTTCTGAAGTTCAATTCGCTAAATAAATTTATATTAATCTTTTACAATTTAAAGAGGAATTGAACTTGTTGCATGTTGTGAAATAATTGAATAATGAAATTATTTGTGTATTGCATCATTCAATAATGTCAGATGGACGTTATTGCCTGTCATGCATTGATCTCAATGGAATCTGCACAATTTCCATTACCACACGAATACATACCAGAGAGATGGTTACGGGATAAAACTAAATTTCCATTAATCAAAGAGCCGCATCCTTATGCATACATGCCTTTTGGATATGGTATGCGCACCTGTATTGGTCGAAGATTCGCCGAGATGGAACTTGAAACATTGCTCTTGACAGTTCGTAAATTTTTGTTCTATATTAATTTATTTGTCCTCAGAATCCAATTAATCATATTATGTGATTTTGCATTTGAAATGATATATGTTTTATTAAAAAGAAGTAACAACGTTAATCAAAAGTTAAATTTTTACTAGCAATATAATTTAAATATTTCAACGAGGTGAAATGGACAGAAGCATTGTCTTCTATTAAAACATAAGTGAAATTTTACACATAACGCAATTATCAGTCAAAGTTTCTATTTTCTTTTAACTTTCTTATTCCCTTTTTGAAGAGATCTTTTTCTTATTTAATATTTTTTTATATAGTATTTTCTGATTTTTCTCTTATTTAATATTTTTATGGTAGTAAAAAATTTTAATTTTCCATAAGATTGCGGGGAAAAATAGTATACATAAGAATTCATCGAAAAGTCAAATAGTAATATTGTTTAATAAAAAATAAAGAATTATAAATATATTTACAAGAAAGACAATCTCTATAATATTATCTCTATAATGATATCTCTATAATATTGTGTACGATTTAACTTAAATTATTCTTGGAAAAATGCTTCAATTATATTAATGTTTCAATTATATTATCTCTTTTTTACTAAGGTGTTAAATTATTCTATTTTATATATAAATCTATATAACCTGGAAAAAAATTTCAAATATGCATTTATTTTTATCTAGATCATACGAAATTTCCGAATTGAATGGCATCACGAACCGCTCAAGTACAAAAGCCAAATTACAAACACGCTAGTATTGCCAATGCGATTCAAATTCATCGATTTGTAGATCGTCTCAAATTTCTTCGCAATCCATTACTATTTGTGTTTTATAGAATTTGTCAAAATTTTATTATCTTATGCAATATTTTTTTAACATATTCACATTTTCTGTTAGTTTGTTATCTAAATAAATAACTGAATTGATTTACAAATATTTGACCAGAGAAATGAAAAAGATCGCCATTAACCACAATTTTAAAAGTGAAAAAAAATCGTTATTGATCACAATTCATTTTAAGTTATACTAGAAAATAGAAAGCGCAATATTTTGCTTTATGTGAGTTTTTGAAAAAAGTAATGCAAAAAAATATCACAAATATATGTGTGTGTGTAAAATAGAACAAAGAATATATATAAATATATATTCTTCTTTTTTTCTATTTTAGAAAGAAGATATATTGCTTATTTATAATATTTTAAATTCTGTAATCTAACATTATCATTGAATAATGATCTTGAGACAACAATTTATTACAAGCATCGATTGAGGTTGATTATCTTATTATCTTATAAAATATTCATCGTTAATACATCATAATCCGTACTGATAAAATAGACAAAACAAATGTATTGTAAACAAAATTAAATGATAATCATTTAAAGTTTTCGCGTGAAACAGATCAGATTATAATTTTTTAAAAACAAACATTCTCGTATAAAGAAAATTATGATGCTCAAGTTAAATTGTAATAATATTTTTGTCTTTATATTTATTTATTTAATATTAATATAATTTGATATTAATATATTTAACTTAATATTTATTTTTACTTGTGTATTTGTATTGTTATCACAAATAAAATATATTAAGCCTGTTTTATATAAATCTGAAATAAAATTATTATTTTTACTCTTAATGAATAAAAAGCATTTTTTCTATGTACAAATAAATTTTTTGATATTACGTTTTTGTTATTTAAAATTTTTTTATATTATTATATATATATATATATATATATATATATATATATATACAGGGTGTAACTGAGAAAGCACCTAATATTCTTATGCGTTGTAATAATGTGAAAAACTTTAATTTGCATTAAAAATCATATTTCTTCCATCAAAAGCGTTTTCTTAAAAAAAATTCGACAAGGAGACTAAAGGTCGGTACTTATTGGCGCAACTTCACTCAATAATTACGCTTTATTAAGCATTATAGAAAAAAATGGTTCTGGACTTTTCGACACGATTGTTAATCAGGAATAACGCTATTTGCTCCGTGGGCGTTTTTTCAGTTACATCCTGTATATATTTTGATATTATTTTTAATATTACTTCTGCTGCTACGTGTGATGTACATAATTGTTTTTTTATAATATTTATCAGATTTATTTTATCTCTTCAATTTTTGGAATATGTTGTATATCTAAAGCTAAAAATTAAATTTAGATGACAAAGTTAATAGACAAAGTTAATAGATGACAAGTTAATTTTAGATAAAAGTTTATTTTCTATTAATATGTAACAAAAATTATACATATACATACAAATAAACTATAGTTAAATTAACTTACACGTATGGATAAGTAAAGAAAATTATGACTATGATATAATGTAGTTATAGCTGATTTAAAAATCAAAATACTACATAAATCATCTTATCAAAACTGAAATAAAATACTTTAACAAACAATTGTATTGTAATTTATGTGTATACAGGGTGTTCCAAAAGAAGCCGATGAAGGCCATCATTTTTTGCATGTTCCCGATTTTTGTCATCATATATCTTTGCAATTTAAGCCTTAAATTAAAACTCAACTAAAGTAAACTCTATTTAAAATTAATCAAAGAATGTAGTTTTGTTAATATTTTATTTCTGCAAAGCTTAGTTTACGAAAAACCCCTTATTTCCAATCACTTATAATTCGAAAATTATTAGTGCCTCGACATTTTCGTTGAGAAAAAATCGTCTCCAAATGATCCCAGGAATCTGTCTTTGAAAGATTGATTATGAGTTTTAGGACACCCTGTATATATTTACATATATATTAGGTGTATAACTACGTTCTCACCGCTCATAATTAAATGGCTCCAGCTGCAAATATAGTGAAGTTAGGCATTTGTCAATGAAATTGAGTGAGCAAAGATTCATTTTTTTGTAAAAGAGATATTTTTTTAAAACGATTTAAAATGAAACGTGATAAGTTGTTTTTTCGATATATACTTTTTTACTGCTTTGATTTAAATAAAACTGCAGCTGAAGTTCATCGATTGATTTCTGAAACAGTTGACTGACCGCTACCAACAACAATTATACTGATTGAATGATGAATTGATGCGAAAAATCACCTTTTCCTATCAATGCAACACGTGCTCGCCGATTCACACTTCTCCAATTACGAAGAGGTCCAAAAATGCATCGATCAATGGAATGCTTAAAAAACAAGTCGTTCTATTGTCGCGGAATACAACTTTTGCAAAAAAGATGGGAAAAAGATAGAAAACAAAGGATTATATTTTGATTAATTCATTATATTAATTCATTTTCTTATTGAAATAAATGCATTTTTCAAGTAAAAAAATGGCGGGAACTTAGTTATAGACCTAATATATATACATATATATGTATGTATGTATATATGCATGCTTAGTAAATTAATATAACTTAATTTTTCCTTCCCAAATGAAATAGAGGTTTTTATATAAAAACAAATTTTAACACATAAATAAATAGAATTTTCATTAAAATAAAAATATTAAAAGATAATAACACGTTTCAATTGATAAAATATAGATAGTAACAAAACAAAATTGAACACGTGCATCAGGTAATCAACAGGTAACTTTAGAATTTGTCCTTTCTAAAGAAGAACAGTAAAACACATATAAGCTATTCATAAAACTATAATTATTATAAATCTTTTCATGTGTATGTTACTATAAATCTCTGTATGTGCGTACATTCGCCGTCTTCCTTATTTATATTAAAAATTATTTATTTATATTAAAAAAGTTATTTATTCTTAATATGTTAATTTTTTCATATGTAATTACGTGATAAAATTGAAAATTTGCATGATGCAATTTTCATAATCAACAATTAATTATGAAATAACAGTTATATTAAATCATAATAGCAATATAATGGACATCTCAGCATTCTTGCATAAAAATTCTTAGTTACATCTTTTTCCACGTACTTAATTATGCTTAAAAATAAGATGAAACTTGTAATGCATAAGTTAAAAATATTAATATTCTTCAAATATTAACAAAATAATAGTATATTAGTGGCTTGAATATTGCTTTACATTTCGAAATTGCATTTTATTTTGTGAACGTCTCAAAAAACATATATGATGATAATAAAACATCACGTTCTCAATAAATGAATGTTACTCGAAATTGAATGATTCGGTACATGAGAGAGAGAGAATGTATATTTTAAATACGAGAAATCATGTGTGTATATATAATAGATTTTATAAATTATAAGTAAATAGCTTTTTTGGTTTTGCACCATGTCCTTTAATTACTGTAATAATCATTAAAAAGTTTTTGTAGTTCCGATTTCGCTGCCGTAATGACTGGAAGCCTTCGATTTTCTATCTGGATCCATAGCAATTGAAATAAACTCTTCGGAAATTCTCTTGTCCAATCCTGTGTAGGTTTGCGCCAGATCCACTTGATCCTCTCCAACTGATGACATCCTTTTCAAGGAGTTATTCTTAATCTCAATTTGTCTCCTTGTTTCTAGTTGTTCCAGATCTGCGAGCGGTTGATGTTTTTGTTTTGGTCTTATCTAAATTCAAATATATGTTACATACAATTATATACACACACACATACACACACACACATACACACACACACACACACACACACACACACACACACACAGGGTGTTCCATTTTAACTTTGCCATCGAAATATCTCGTAAAATCTAAAAGATACGAAAAAATGTTTCAGACAAAAATTGTATGGTTTCGAGGGGGACATAAGATGGTGCCATTAGTTTGACCTTGAAGAGTCACCTGAAGGTCACGTGAAGGTCACCTCCAACTTTTTAAATGGGACACTCTATATGCTTTTGCATATTCTTGTAGTTCATCTCGGGAGATTTCCAAAACATTATAATTAAGTTAGTTTTCATTAAGTATTTTCCGAATTATGAGGCTTGAAATCATTTCTTAATTTTACATAAACTGTAAAATATCTTGTAAAATATTCATTTTTCGATTATCTTACTTTTGGAGATATAGGCTGAAAAAGGATAAAAATAATAAATACAAAAATAAGATAAATCTTCGGAAATCCTACCTATACGAAATAATGAGTAAGAACACCCAATTTCTATGTATTTTTACCTCCTGAACACGAATATGAAATTTAAAAATAGCGGTCGAACTCGCAAGTCAAAGAAAAACGCTTAAAAAGGTAAATTAGTAAAAAGATAAATTAAAGGTAAATTAAAGGTAAATAAAAAAAGGTAAACAATTTAAATTTATGTAGAATTTAATACAATTTAATACAATTTAAAAATATCACAAATGTGTGTGTACACATACATACACACGCGCGGGGAGTGCAAGGGGGACCTCGCTTTACAACTTACAACATATATCCATGTTGATTGATCTTTTCAAAAAAAGGATCAATCACACGTTCCTTACCGACGGGATGGTTGCGGAAGGGAGATCGAAGCCTCCCTTGCACCCCCTCCCCGCGCGCGCGCGCGCGCGTGTGTGTGTATGTGTACACATACATTTGTGATATTTTTTAATTATATTAAATTGTATTAAATTCTATATAAATTTTAATTGTATTAAATGTATTTAAAATTATTATTTTTTCATATAACAGCTAAAATAGTAGGTTTATAAAAAAAATGCATGTTACCTTTTTCGTAGAGTTTTTTCAGTGGCTTTATTTTTTGCTTAAAATTTTTTTTCTCAAAACAATATTTTCGGAGATAAAAAGCATTAAAATTGTGAAATTCTTTTGTTAATAACTTGTTCATAACTTTTAATAAACAACGACCGCCGGATAAAATCTTCAGAATATTAATTAGAGATATAATCTTGACAATATATGTCGGTGACACATTTGTGCAAAGGTGGGCCCTTTTTATGCATAATTACCATTTAATTATAGTGTTTTGGAAAGCTCTGGAGATGAGCTACAAGAATATGCAAAAGTATATAGGGTATCTCATTTAAAAAGTTGGAGGTGATCTTCACGTGATCTTCAGGTGACTCTTCAAACTTATAGCACCATCTTATCCCCCTCGAAACCATACAACTTTTGTCTGAAACATTTTTTCGTATCTTTTAGACCTTACGAGATATTTCGATGGCAAAGTTAAAACACAACATTATACGGAACATTATATATACAGGGTGTCCCATTTTATTGTCCCACCCCAAATAACTTTCTTATTTTTAATTTTAGAAAAAGATGTTTCGGACAAAAGTTGTCTGAAGGGTTTGAAGGGGGACATAAGATGGTACCATTGGTTTGACCTTGAAGAGTTATTTGAAGGTCACATGAAGGTTACCTTCAATTTCTTAAATGGAATCTACATTTTCTCATTACATATGCTTGTAGCTTATCTCGAGAGCTTTCCAAAACACTATAATAAAATATTTTTTCATTGAGTACTGTTTGAGTTATGAGGCTTGAAATCATTTTTTAATTTTACATAAACCGTAATATATCTAGTAAAATATTCATTTTTCAATTATCTTGTCTTAATACTTTTATGTACAAAATAATGAGAGAAATCGATTGGTGTAAAAAAAACACATAGTTGTTTCAAAGAAAAAATATGTAATTGTTAATTGCAAATTACATATTTTTTCTTAAATATAACTATGTGTTTTCTTTACACCAATTGATTCCTCTCATTATTTTGTACATAAAAGTATTAAGGCAAGATAATTGAAAAATGAATATCTTACTAGATATATTGCGGTTTATGTAAAATTAAGAAATGATTTCAAGCCTCATAATTCGAAAAGTACTCAATGAAAAAATATTTTATTATAGTGTTTTGGAAAGCTCTCGAGATAAGCTACAAGCATATGTAATGAGAAAATGTAGATTCCATTTAAGAAATTGAAGGTAACCTTCATGTGACCTTCAAATAACTTTTCAAGGTCAAACCAATGGTACCATCTTATGTCCCCCTTGAAACCATATAACTTTTGTCAGAAACATCTTTTTCTAAAATTAAAAATAAGAAAGTTATTTGGGGTGGGACATTAAAATGGGACACCCTGTATATGTATATACATATACAGGATGATTCTGAACAAATTTATCTTTAAAATATCATTCTTGAATGAATTCTAAGATGATTTTTCCTCGTGCAAAATTTTGTCCCGAACTTAGTTTTTAAACTATAAAGGAAAATAGTGAATTAATTACGAGTAAAATATATAGGCGATTACGTGGGGCGCTCGCCGCGATCAGCTTCCTGCTCGTACTCGTCCCTCGTAATTAGTTAACTGTTTTCCTTTATAGTTTAAAAATTAAATCCCAGGAAAAATTTTGCAAGAAGAAAAATCGTCTTAGAATTCATTCAAGAATTTGATATTTTAAAGACAAATGTTTATTCAGAATCATACTGTATATGTAATTATATATTTATCGCGATTAAGTGACTATTAAACAAACTAATTATGGCAAGCAAACCGAAATACAGAAAGATATGTTTAAAAATTAGAAAATTTACTGTTTTTTATAGAGTGTCTCATAGGACGTTACTAAAATTAAGCATGTCCCTTTTCTTCCTATAATTCATCTGTTCTATTATTAATAGCCTTTATATTTGAGTTTCCGGCAGTTTTATTTTGATTATTGTTGGAATTGAAACACTTGCCTTATAATGTGCGATCATAATAAAAAAAGTGTATCTCAAGTACTTCTTTAGAGAGAAAATTTATAGTAATGCTTATATATAGAGGATTTCTTAAGCTTGACACAAAGTTGCTAGTGAAAACATTCTTAAATTAAAATTTAATTTTTATTCATGTGTACGGAAAAAAATATTCTTACACATATTTCATAAGATTTTCCATTTTAATGCATTAAAATAATTCTACATTTTTTTGTAAAATAATTGACAATTTTCTGAATATATCAATTATTTTATGAAAAAAATGACTCCACTGTACACTTGAGGACCGCCAGTGTTTGCTGTAGATAATTTCAAAATTATCTAGATAAAGATAAAGATAAAAATCCGTAAATTTATCTTAGATGAGATAAAGATGATTTTGCTTTTACTTAATCTAGATGAAAGATGAGATGATTATTGCGATAATCTAGATAATTATCTAGATATTTTTGTTTATTTTATAAGACTATAAATATTTGTAAAAATTGTGACGCAGATTATAAATGGGATATTAAAATCATAAACACATATTCTTTCTCTTTTCCTAAAGAATATTTAAATAATAACAAAAAGGTATATAAATGATATGATAAATATTTATTTATTAATTTATATTTATAATATATTTATAATATATCTATAATATATTAATAATATATTAATAATATAATAATTAATGTGTAACAATACATATATTATTTTTATAAAATATACATTAATGCATTGCACAAATTTAAGTAAAAGAAATACAAGATAAAGTATATTTGTAATATTATTTTCCAAATAAAAAATATATTTTAGATAGATTTTTAGAAGCTTGCCTGGAAAACTTTTTTGCATAATTAAAACGTCATCTTAGACAATTTTTAGATAAGATGATATATATTTTCCATCTAAGATAAAGATAAAGATACTTTGTATTTCTTCATTTAGTTAAAGATAAAGATGATCCATTTCTTTATCTAGATGATTATCTAGATAATTTTATCTAGATACCAGCAAACACTGCATACCATATACATCTCATTATTCAGAGTGTTTGATAAAGATTGGACTAATGCTCATGAAGGACTAGAGCGTAATAAATTGAATACAAAAGTTCTTTATCAATCTGCAAGAAGCATTGCTTAAAAGAATATAGAGTGACCTGCATACTCTTCGAATTTGAATCCATGCGTTTTTTTTTCTGTGAGAATATTTAAAAAACAACTGCTGTGCCAAGAATATTTCGAAATAATATATAAAAATACATATCGCTGAATAAAATTAACCAAATAAAATTGATCACAGCGCAAGAAAAATGGTAAGTATTTCAAAAAATATGTTATATAAAGTCTCTAAAAAAAGTTTTAAAGTTCTTTCCGAAAGAAATTTAATTTTTTTTTTCAATTCTACGATGCATGTCTCGAAAATATATCATTATATGTTATTGAGATTGACGATTTGGCATTTTTTTTACAAGCGTTTATTAAATAATAAAAATAATTTCCGATTATCTTTAGTCCATATGTAAATAAAATTGCCAAAAAAATGTTTTTCATTAAAAAATATTTTACTTTTTCTGCTTCCTATGTTCATTTAAAAATGACAATAGATTATTTTTAGTAACATTTTCCTTGAAACATCTAATTAAAATCATATTGTATCAATAATTTTTGTATGTGTGCTTAAGCATTTTTATACCAGTCTGCAAATTACTTTCAGATCCAAATATAATTAACATTTCTATTGCAATATTCTCCTATTACTTACCATGTGATCGCATAATTATGTAAGTATTAAAGTAAGAAAGTCATTTATCGAAATATAATTAGACAATATTATTTGTGCGTATCCAAGTATGTGTATTTATGAATTTAATTATTTATAAATTTAATTAATTCTGTTACCTATGAATATAATTTAATAATAAATACTTGTAATTCTTAATAATAAATGTTTAAAACCAATTAATTGTAATTAAATAATAATAATTAATAGTAATAATTTTTACTCACGGTCGTGACCTTGACGACATATGTCAAGATCAATAATGAGGTTGCTGTTATTTTAGATATTTATCAATTTAAATTAATAAAAGAAATGTTATACTCTCTCTCTCATTTTAATTTTATATTCAATAACTCACCATTTGAGATGATGGTCGTCCAACATACGGAGGCATGTGCGATAACATAGGTAGGGCGCCATATGTCGTTGATGTAGAAATCGAAAGAGTTCCAGGTACGAATGTTCCAAACGAGAATTTTCCTGATGCTGGTGGTGGCATACCATAGGGTGGCTATAATTGTATAAAACTCCTTATATTGTTTTTGAATAATCTTTTTTTCATTGTACACTATAATATATATGCGGTATTATATTGTTACATTCTGCCAAATCCACAGTTCCTTTCTCTTGCGAAGTTGCAGAATGATTATTTAATTGATGATAAACAAAATCCTTCATCAAATAGAGCTTCTTGTATCACACAATTATTTTAATATTCTATCATTTAAATAGTCATTCGTTGATAACACTTTCTCTCTTTCTCTCTCTCTCCCCCTCTCTTATACATACATACATATATATATATATATATATATATATATATATATATATATACATATATAAAATCGTCTCCAAATGATCCCAGGAATCTGTCTTTAAAAGATTGATTATGAGTTTTGGGACACCCTGTATATATATATATATATATATATATTATATATATATATATATATATATATATATATATACATACATACATACATACATACATACATACATACATACATACATACATACGTACATACGTACATACGTACGTACATACGTACACACGTACACACGTACACACGTACACACACACACGCACACGCACACACGCGCACACACACACACACACACACACACACACACACACACACACACACACACAATATACAGGGTGGTCCCGAACGTTCCAACCAGACTTTGAGATCTTATAGGAAATTTAATTCTGAACAAAAAATTTCCTATAAACATAGGACGAAAAATTTCGCTTTCTTAAGAAGTTATCGTCAAAATCTCTGAAGGAAGAGCAAAAGGTGAAAAGAAAATGAAATAAAAAGAAAATGAAACTAAATAAATTTCTTGAAATAAAAACGATAAAAATAAAAAATAAAAATCTTTTTCTTTTATGAAAATAAAATAATTTTTTTTTACTAATATTTTAGTAATAGCACGTAATAGTAGAAAATGAATAAAGACGTTTTTCAAGAAATTTATTTAGTTTCATTTTTTTTTATTTCATTTTCTTTTCACCTTTTGCTCTTCCTTCATCAGAGGTTTTTGAGCGATAACTTTTTAAGGAAGTATTTTTTTCGACCCATGTTTATAGGAAATTTTTTGTTCAGAATTAAATTTCCTATGAGATCTCAAAGTCTGGCTGGAACGTTCGGGGCCACCCTGTATATGTAATTGTAGAAAAACATGTAAGAGATATCAACATTGAAGTGAATATCGATCTTCTCTAACAAATAATTATCCGAAAATAAAGATATCGGTAGTGGAATAAGAAAAAATATATTGATAATAGAATAACATTGATCTCCTGCAAATAGAAATAATAACATTCCAAAAGTTAAACTTCTCGGGAGAGAAATAAAAATTGATGACGAATTTAAATAAATTTATTTAAATACTTAAATAAATAATTGCATCTTATGATAAAAAACTTGAATTAAAACTTGAATTAAATTCATATGTAATGTTTAGAATCAAAATATAAAATGTTTGACGAAAAAGTAATTTCAAGAATTATAAATTCATATCGCTCACCAATAAACGATTGATAAACATTAAAATATGCAAAGCAAAAGAAATACTTCACCGAATGGACATTGGCTGTTCTAATGCGTTAAGATTTGGAACATTGTCACCTTTAAAAAGAGTATATCCTCGAAAACTGGCCAGCGTCAATAAACAGATTTTTTTTTTAATCCTACAACTTTTTTTTTAATCCTACAACTTTTATCTGAAACATTTCTTTCTAAAATGCATTTATAAAATTTTTAACCGTTTCCTTGTTGAGACTTTTGGAAACAACAGGTTGTATGCATGTATGTATATGTGCATGTATGTATATATGTACGTATGTATGTATATGTATATGTAAATACACACACACACACACACACACACATATACAGGGTGTCATTTTAAGAGATGCAGTTGAATATCTTTTAAAGTAAAAAAGATTGGGAAAAATGTTTCAGACAATAGTAGTATGGCTTCGAGGGGGACATAAGACGATGCCATTAGATTGATCTTGAAGTGTCAGCTGAAAGTCACGTGAAGATCACCTCCAACTTTGTAAATGGTAGACCCTATATGCTTTTGTATATTCGTGTAGCTCATATCGAGAGCTTTCCAAAACACTATAATTAAGTTAGTTTTCATTAAGTACTGTCCGAGTTATAAGGCTTGAAATCATTTCTTAATTTTACATAAACTGTAAAATATCTTGTAAAATATTCATTTTTCTATTATTTTACCTTAATACTTTTATGTACAATATGAAAAATGTAATACTTTTATGTTACAAAATAATAAGAGGAATCAATTGGTGTAAAGAAAACATATAGTTGTTTTTATATATGTTTTTAAGAAAAAATATGTAATTTGCAATTAACAATTACATATTTTTTCTTAAAAATAACTATATTTTTTTCTTTACATCAATTGATTTCCCTTATTATTTTGTACATAAAAGTATTAAGATAAGATAAATCGAAAAATGAATATTTTACTAGATATTTTATGTAAAATTAAGAAATTATTTCAAGCCCCATAACTCAGAAAGTACTTAATGAAAAAATACTTTATTATAGTGTTTTGGAAAGCTCTCGAAATAAGCTATAAGCTATAAGAATAAGCGATTGGGAGTTCCATTTAAAAAATTAAAAGTGACCTTCAGTGATCTTCAAATAATTCTCTAAGGTCAACTCAATGGCATCATGTTATATCCCCCTTCGAGTCAAACAACTTTTGTCTGAAATATTTTTTTGAAAAAAATCTTTTCGAAATATCCGCATGGATTGATTAAAATGACCCACTCTGTATATATTATATTAAGTAATTTTTTAAAATTCTCTCTCTTTTTCTTTTTCTCAAAATTGAAATATATTCCATGATTAATATCCTAGTGTCATATATTGGCATTTTTGAGTAAATTGTTTCTGTTCATGTATTTCAATCCTTTTTCATTACTTTCCAAGCACATGATATTAACATTTCCATTATAATAAAGCGTGCATCAATTTGCTTAGAAAAGTTTCTCTTCGATTTGAACTTTCTATGTCACGTATATCAGTGACCTTCCTCCTAAGACAAGAGACCATAATTGTTGGAGATAATGGGAGAAAAGGCTGAAAAGGCATTTACTTGAATCATCGGATGCATTGGCACCGGCATCGGCTGCATCACATAGATCGGTGGTTGCTGGTTCTTCGCGGGTACGTGATTCTGCGCAATGACCCACTGATGAACCATATTGCGAGTTTTTAGGTGACCATCAATCGTCAACGTTTCGTCTGTTACGCTGTTTCGCAGACAGCTGCATAATTTTGGTGTCAAAGTCAGACAGCTATAGCCGGATACCAATAGCTCTGCCACACTTGCCACTAGCAAGCCGATACTTGCCAATAGACCTGCTAAACCACCGTCTGCTTCCATCACATTGTTGTCATCATCCTAAAACATATATTTATATTTTAAAACTTCCAGTTCTCTATGTCCTTTAATAGTAAATACGGAAATTATCAAAAATGAAAAAGATTGGTATTTCGCTTATCGTTGTACATACTATCAATAATTTCATATATCGATGCGATAAATTATTTCATATAAAGAATAAAAAGAAAAATCTTGCAAAACATAACTGTAAAATTGGCAAGCTAGTTTCAATCGAAATAGAACATTCAGAATCAATTCATTATACAGGGTGTCCCAAAAGTCCCGGACCGGTCGAATATTTCATAAACTATGCACTTTAGAAAGAAATGTTTCAGACAAAAGTTGTATGGCTTGAAGGGGGCCATCAGATAGTGACAATGATTTGACATGGGAGAGTCATTTGAAAATCACGTGAAGATCACCGTCAATTTCTTAAATGAAACCCCCTATTTTTTATTACACATTCGTGTAGCTCATCTTGAGTGCTTTCCAAAACACTATAATAAAGTATTATTTCATTGAGTACTTTTCGAGTTATGAGGCTTGAAATCATTTCTTAATTTTGCATAAATCATAAAATATCTAGTAAAATATTCATTTTTCGATTATCTTACCTTAATACTTTTATATACAAAATAATGAGAGAAATCAATTGGTGTAAAGAAAGCACATAGTTGTTTTAAAAAAAAATATGTAATTGTTAATTGCAAATTACATATTTTTTTCTTAAAAACAACTATGTTTTTTCTTTACACCAATTGATTCCTCTCATTATTTTGTACATAAAAGTATTAAGGTAAGATAATCGAAAAATGAATATTTTACTAGATATTTTACGGTTTATGTAAAATTAAGAAATGATTTCAAACCTCATAATTCGGAAAGTAGTTAATGAAAACTAACTTAATTATAGTGTTTTGGAAAGCTCTCAACGTGAGCTACCAGAATATTTAATAAAAAATAGGAAATTCTTTTTAAGAAATTGACGGTGATCTTCACGTGACTTTCAAATGACTTTCTCATGTCAAATCATTGCCACTATCTGATGGCCGCCTTCAAGCCATACAACTTTTGTCTGAAACATTTCTTTCTAAAGTGCATATTTTATGAAATATTCAACCCCTTACGAGACTTTTGGGACACCCTGTATATCTTTCAGGGTCAAAAAAACTTATTTTTTTTATCTTAAACAAAAAATATTGTTTTTTTGTTTAGAACAATGTTTTTTGTTTTGTTTGTGTTTTTAAGTAAATTAAAAAAAACACGTTTTAAACAAAAAAAACATGTTTTAAACAAGCAAAAAACACTCAATAGCTTTGATCTGTGTAAATATTTAAATTTTTCGCTAGCGTTAAACTGTAAATAACGTTGCCAAAATTAACAACGCTATTAAAAATATAAATAATAAAATAGAAATGATAAGATGGGTATTATTTTAGCAAAATATTTATTTTTGGATATTAAATAACAATCAGTACAATAAAGATTACTTAGAAGATATTAACTGACTTTACATTTTACATTTATCATTTTAAATTAATAGTACATAACTCCTAGCAGGTCAGTAGTTTTAAAAAAAAGTTCTAGTTAATAATATTTAATATATAATATTTTGATTCCTTTCCTATTCTTATTAAGTAACCTCATGCTTAACTCTCAACATAAATTCTAAATAAAAGAAAAATAATTCTAAATAAGAGAAAAAACTTTAATTCTTTTTTTTAAAAGAAGAACTTTTTTTAGAACTACTGACCTGCTATGAATTATGTACTATTAATTTAAAATGCTAAAATGTAAAAGTCAGTCAATATTTTTGATGTAATCATTATTGTATTGATTGTTATTTAATATCCAAAAATAAATATTCTTCTAAAATAATACCCATCTTATCATTTTTATTTTATTATTTATATTTTTATATCCATATGTTACATAAATATAGATAAAAAACTAAAAACACTAAAACAAAAACTTTTTTGCAACACACACATCTATATCTAGTTTTTGTTTGTTTTTAATTTTTTTTACAATTTCTTTTCCAAATAATCATATATTTTATTTGCGATATTTTAAACGATTCTAAACAATAGTTTAAAACAGTTTAAAACAAAAATGTTTAAAACAGTGGACACTGTTTTAAACAAGTTTTAATCAAACAGTTTTAAACATATTGTTTAAAACATGCCAACCTTGATATCTCTTATAGCCTTTTTCTCCTTTCACAAAATAAACTAACGTCAAATAATATTCTTTCAAAGTTTTGTAAAGTTAAGAGGAAACACGCTTTATTATTACTCATGTTAACGCGAGTATTGCGTGTGCACGTCGCGTGAGCATAACTTCCTATATATTCCTGTGATCGTGATCCGTGGAATTTCATGGTACGGTCTGACCGCATTTTAGCCTTGGCATTGGGAACTTTCTCCTACAGTGGTCAAATGATTTCATCAGTTGCATTTGCCAGATTCAAGCAAAATATATCTTCCATTAATTTAAATTCGACATATCAAGTTAAATTGAATTACATTATTACATTTTACAGGTTTTTTAAGACGAAAAAAAAAGCTATATTTTTTCATAATTTTATTTTTTTATACACTAACGCTTAAAAATTAGCAACTATATATCAGTTTGTCAATTTTTTATCAATAAAAAATGTTTTTCATGTATTTTCGGACGCTTTCAAAAAGCAAATCTTTTTACGTGTATATAGTTGTAACATAATTTTTCTATTTTTTATATATTTTGAAAATGCATAAAAATTAGCCCACATTTATTTGTTTGTTCCTAAAAAAATAATTATTAAATTATGTCATATCAACGCATGATAATATTATGACATTCAATGCATTTATATATGTACAAATCATAAATGTTTCAGTTTTTGTTTTTATTACTTCTTTTCGACATAAAATTTACACAAGATATAATATATTCTAATTCTGATGAGAAAATATACATGATGTAATCTTTGTGATATGATTTTTCTTTATTTCAATTAATATTTGTAAAATCATAAAAGCTGATATTTTCAAATATATTATATATATATATATATATATATATATATATATATATATACACACATATATACAGGGTGTCGCAGATCACCTGTATCAGCCGAATATCTCAAAAACTGAACGCGGCAGACCAAAATATTTCAAACAAAAGTTGTAAGGTTTCAACTAATGCATTACATAGCGATATCAGTATGACCTTGAAGATTGTTGTCAAGGTTGCATAAAGGTCACCTTGAATTCTATAGATAAAAACCCCAATTTTTTATTGCATATTCGTGTAATTTATCTCGAGAGCTTACCAAAACACTATAATAAAGTATTTCTTCATTGAGTACTTTTCGAGTTATGAGGCTTGAAATCATTTCTTAATTTTGCATAAACCATAAAATGTCTAGTAAAATATTCATTTTTCGATTATCTTACCTTAATACTTTTATGTACAAAATAATGAGAGGAATCAATTGATGTAAAGAAAAAATATGTAAATGTTAATTGCAAATTACATATTTTTTCTTAAAAACAACTATATTTTTTCTTTACACCAATTGATTCCTCTCATTAGTTTGTTCATAAAAGTATTAAGGTAAGATAATCGAAAAATAAATATTTTGCTAGATATTTTATGGTTTATGTAAAATTAAGTAATGATTTCAAGCCTCATAATTCAGAAAGTACTTAATAAAAACTAACTTAATTATAGTGTTTTGGAAAGCTCTCGACGTGAGCTACCAGAATATTTAATAAAAAATAAGGGGTTTCATTTAAGAAATTGACGGTGATCTTCACGTGACTTTCAAATGACTCTCCCATGTCAAATCATTGCCACTATCTGATGGTCCCCTTCAAGCCAACTTTTGTTTGAAACATTTCTTTCCAAAGTGCATAGTTTATGAAATATTCGACCGGTCCGGAACTTTTGGAACACCCTGTATATATATATTAAACAAAAAAATTCATTTCGGGTTACATTTTTTTTCTTTTCTTCTAAACTGTCTAGCTGTCGAAATGCCGATATTGATGCAGCAGATCTACTCGTGTGTCCGTGTGTTAATTAGAAATAAAGCTTCGGCCTGCTAATTAACGCCGTGGATACATTCTTGATCTTTATCGAATCCGCACTTCTATGCTCATAGAGCATGCACTATGCTAGCACGAATGCAACAAACAAGTCTGATGCTAGTTGTATCATGAAAAATAATGATAAAATTTAGAAATAATATTATTTTTAGCCGGCAAAATACATATTACACACGATTACACATGGTTAAGCGTAAAATTTTTTTCCGATGTTCTGGTGTGATTTCGAAATCTGATTTTGTAGCGTGATTTTAACTTAATATTGAGATTAACAAACTAATATTTATTTTATTTGAGATTAATAAATATAATATTTATTTTATATCCCAAAATCATAGGATAATTAATGTAACGCATGAGTAAACATATTATAATAATATTAGAATAATTATTAATTATAATCTGGAAATTTTATAACTCTCTCTAGAAAAAAAAAATTTATTTTCAAGTAATTTTATTTTTTTAAAAGTAATTGTGCTGATAGTGTGAAAATTGACAATTACGTCAATTATTATATAACTTGATAAAATGGAAATTAAATAAAATTCTTTTCTATCTTTATTATCTATTTTTTTCAGTTTTTTAAATTGTACTAAATTCGTAAAAATTGATTTTTCTATAAATCTAATTTTAATTTGTCATAATATTTTTTATTATAATATATTTTATATTTTTATTTTTATAACATTTTATAATATATACATATTATAATATATATTATACATATTATATATATTGTAATATCATGAGTATTTTTTAACATTTGACATAATAAATTAATCATAATAAACGAACTTCAACATATTCTTTCGAAATATTACATACTGACATTGTAGAAAAAAATTGAATCAAAAGATAAGTATAGAAGACGTACCGAGAGATTGAGAAACGACACTTCTGATGCTCTTTGCGAATCTCTGACGACTGCTGTCAAGGCCGTTATAGCGGCCATATTAGAAAGAGCAAGAGCAATCAAGCTGGATGCGAGATGAGCGGATGCGAAAGCGGAATTTGTTTTGGTGGAAGACGTTGCTAATGTTGCAACCACTCCTAGAGACCCGGCAACCAAGGCACCTGCACCTGCCCAGAGTCCTGCACCGGAACTACCCAAAGAAGCGCCATGGACGAGCGCCAAAACACCAAAAACGACCAGAACGATACCTAGGAACATAGCCAGATAAACAGATTACATATCGTCTTCTTCATTTTTGATGAACAAATGACACTTTGTATATGGCACCTTGTATTGTGTACAATTATCATACCACCAGTGTTTGCTGTAGATAATTTCAAAATTATCTAGATAAAGATAAAGATAAAAATCCGTAAATTTATCTTAGATGAGATAAAGATGATTTTGCTTTTACTTAATCTAGATGAAAGATGAGATAATTATTGCGATAATCTAGATAATTATTTAGATATTTTTGTTTATTTTAGAAGACTATAAATATATGTAAAAAATGTGACGCAGATTATAAATGGAATATTAAAATCATAAACACATATTCTTTCTCTTTTCCTAAAGAATATTTAAATAAAAAGGTATATAAATGCATATAGCAAAAAGGTATATATATAAATGATATGATAAATATTTATTTATTAATTTATATTTATAATATATTTATAATATATTTATAATATATTAATAATATAATAATAATATATTTATAATATATTAATAATAATAATATAAAAAATATATTTTAGATAGATTTAGATAGATTTTTAGAAGCTTGCTTTAGATTTTTGGAAAACATTTTTGCATAATGAAAACATCATCTTAGACAATTTTTAGATAAGATGACATATTTTTCATCTAAGATAAAGATAAAGATACTTTGTATTTCTTCATCTAGTTAAAGGTAAAGATGATTCATTTCTTCATCTAGATGATTATCTAGATAATTTTATCTAGATACCAGCAAACACTGCATACCATATACATCTCATTATTCAGAGTGTTTGATAAAGATTGGACTAATGCTCATGAAGGACTAGAGCGTAATAAATTGAATACAAAAGTTCTTTATCAATCTGCAATTTTCGCAATAATTATTAAAATATTAACGAGTGTCGACAACGAAAAGTTTGACAGTACATTTTCTGGTTCTCGTATTTTCATTATGTAACATTGTATGATACTCGCCGTTGTCATGCTAAAACACACACCTTACGGTGTAGCTGCACGAAACATGCGTTTTTCGTCAATCTTTTTAATTAATATTTTAATAATTATTGCAAAAATTACAAAATGGAAAAAATCTTTTCTGTTTAATTTACTGCGCTATTCCTTACGTTGATTCAATCTTTATAAAATATTGTGTAAATTTTATTACATATTTTTTGACTTATTTTTTCATATAGAATCATTATCTTCTAATTTATTTTATATATCATTATTTTAATTTATTTAAACTTTTGCCTAATCATCAGTTATATGGGGCATTTATTATAAGACCAGATCTATCTCTAATATTTATCTCAATAATATCGAAAAAATTAATAAATTAAATTTTAATAAGTTATAATTATATTAAATCGCGACACACATATGCACAAGAAAGATTTTGTTACAATAATTTTGTTACAATAAATTATTAAATTCTGGAAAAAAGACAAATATGTTCTTTGTTATTATTGATTATATGACCATCTTAATTAAATTGCACAAATTTTTATTCACATATGTTACATTTTCTTTCAATAGATCGAATGATCAGTAGTTTGATAGTTAGCGAATGATCTCAGGTATGAGAAGAACAAAGCAATATGCCAGAGATAATAATTAGTTCACCTCAATTGTTCCCGATTATTCAAGCGAAATAAATTGTAAGTATCCAAAGAGTATTGTGCTTTATAGTTGTGCAAAATGAGTTTCATGTACGACTTTCCAAGTGAAATGTTTTCACTCTTATGTTGCTTTCTGATTTATGTGCATTCAACATTTCGCTTCGTGACTTCTTGAAATGCACGCATGAATTTTTCGATCTAAAATCACTATTTAATTGTCTGTAATTAAGTGGCGATATATTTTTCCTGTTGTAGAACTAATTTTCATAATCAATCGCAAGAATTTGCGAAAATTGTATTTGTACTTATTGTTGGAAATTCTTTGATTCTACAATTCTACATTATTATATTTGTATTTTAATGTCGCATCAAACAAGATTATATTCCATTTTATATAGATTCAGAAAATATCGCGAGTGAAATGATAGAAATGCGAATAAAATATAAGAATAAAAAATGCAAATAAATAAAATAAAACAACGTGATAATTTTTCATTAATAAGTGTACAATGATAATTCTAATAAAGCACTATTATAATTCTAACTTTTATTTCAGTATTTATTATCAGTATTTAACATCTTCATTTTATAAGATCGAGAAACATAAATAAAAGTATTCACTTGAAATCGTTTAGTTCCAGTGTTTGCTGTAGATAATTTCAAAATTATCTGGATAAAGATAAAGATAAAAATCCGTAAATTTATCTTAGATGAGATAAAGACGATTTTTCTTTTACTTAATCTAGATAAAAGATGATTATTGTGATAATCTAGATAATATATCTAGATAATTATCTAGATATTTTTGTTTATTTTATAAGACTATAAATATTTGTAAAATATGTGACGCAGATTATAAATAGGATATTAAAATCATAAACACATATTCTTTCTCTTTTCCTAAAGAATATCTAAATGACAACAAAAAGGTATATAAATGATATGATAAATATTTATTCATTTATTTATATTTATAATATTATATATTTATAATATATTTATAATATATTAATAATATATTAATAATATAATAATCAATGTATAACAATACATATATTATTTTTATAAAATGTACATTAATGCATTGCACAAATTTAAGTAAAATAAGTACAACATAAAGTATATTTGTAATATTATTTTCCAAATAAAAAATATATTTTAGATATTTTAGATTTTTAGAAGCTTGCCTCTTTTGCATAATTAAAACGTCATCTTAGACAATTTTTAGATAAGATGACATATATTTTTTATCTAAGATAAAGATAAAGATACTTTGTATTTCTTCATCTAGTTAAAGATAAAGATGATCTATTTCTTTATCTAAATAATTATCTAGATAATTTTATCTAGATACCAGCAAATACTGTTTGGTTCACAATACATTTATGATTATATTATCTAATCTATTAAAGATCTCAATTGTACTACTTGACCCAATTGGAAATAAATACTAATGATATTAATCCTAGTATGGAAAGTATCGATAAAACAGATCAGAGGACTCTCTCGCATCACAACTTACCAAGCAACAATTGTCCACAAGATGTAAACATGAATAAATTGGAATCATTCTTTGTCTCAAAAGTTGCCTGCAAATCCTGTCGATCTTTGGATGTACGCTTCGGATGCTGTTGTTGCTGCTGTTGCTTCTCTGCGATAAGAACATCTTTCGAATGTTTGGACTCTAGACAACTTTCTGGCTTCAATTCCGAATCTTTTGATTCCTTCGAATGACTTGAATTTTGACTTCTCACTGTAGAGTCAAGCGCGATTGTCGCATCCTCCATGATTTTCTTCCGAATTAATTGTGCATGGTTGACTTTTACGACAATAATATTATGTCCCGCCGCAATTATTATACTATCTTTACTTATTGTTCGAAATAATTTTTCATCAGTAATCACTTCTGTTTGTTTTATTCGACGCTCAAAGTAGAAGATAATATTTTAATCGTGGCAACGATTACATTTTCAAAATTTATATGATTTTTCGTTTACTATTCTATTGAATGTAATTTTGCGAAAATACATTTTTATGTCATGTGAATTATAATTTTATATAATTTCATTGATTTATGTATTTTTTTTTCATTTAAATTATAATGTATACATTGAAATTTATTCAATTTTGGACTTTATTATATATATATTTATAATATAAACAGATATATAAAAATTCAATTACGTATATTATTTTTGATATACATTTGTTTCTCGAATTGTTTCTTAAAAATTGAATATATAGGATACATTAAAATACTTTTATATTACTTGAATATCTAGTATAAATTGTATATAATAATTGCGAATTAACATTGTAACGATAGAATGCTATGTTGAATTCAAAGTTGATTGTACAACGTGGTAATCGCTGATCCGACTGGCAACATATGCAGAATCGCAATTATCTAGAAATAAAGCAAAAACTTCTACAACACTTAAGAATAAATAATATTAAGTTTAAAATAAAATTTTATAATATGATAAATAAATATAATGTATCATTGTTTTCTTAAGTATAAATGGATGATGTTCTACAGGGTGGACCCGAACGTTCCAGATAGACCAGACATTCCAGATAGACTTTGAGATCTCATAGGAAATTTAATACTGAACAAAAAATTTTCTATAAACATGGGTTGAAAAATGCTTCTTTAAGAAGTTATCGCTCAAAAACCTCTAATGAAGGAAGAGCAAAAGGTGAAAAGAAAATGAAATAAAAAGAAAATGAAACTAAATAAATTTCTTGAAAAAAAAACATCAAAAATAAAAAATAAAAATCTTTTTCTTTTATGAAAATAAAATAATTTTTTTTACTAATATTTTAGTAATAGCACGTAATAGTAGAAAATGAATAAAGACGTTTTACAAGAAATTTATTTAGTTTCATTTTCTTTTTATTTTATTTTCTTTTCACCTTTTGCTCCTCCTTCATCAGAGGTTTTTGAGCGATAACTTCTTAAGGAAGCATTTTTAAACCCATGTTTATAGAAAGTTTTTTGTTCAGAATTAAATTTCCTATAAGATCTCAAAATCTGGCTGGAACGTTTGGGGCCACCCGGTATATATGTATATAAAATTGACAAAGTTTACATACAGAGTGTCCCAAAAGTCCCGGACCGGTCGAATATTTCATAAAATATGCACTTTAGAAAGAAATATTTCAAACAAAAATTGTATGGCTTAAAGGGGGACGTCAGATAGTGGCAATGATTTGACATGGAAGAGTCATTTGAAAGTCATGTGAAGATCACCGTCAATTTCTTAAATGGGACTCCCTATTTTTTATTACATATTCGTGTACCTTATCTCGAGAGCTTTCCAAAACACTATAATAAAGTATTTCTTGAGTACTTTTCGAGTTAT